TATCTATACAAGAAGAGCCTCTCCTAAGAGCATGCCAAAATATGTGAGATGTAGCTTTGTCATCCTTGCTGCCGAGGAGTACTCTGGCTGTACTTTGTCTAAGAAATATCAGTTTGTTCTTTTGGCACTCAACAGGATATTCAGCACCCGTCTCCAACACCACAATGCAAAGGCTTCGATTCTTCTATCATTCTTATTCATTGTCAAGCTCAAAGAGACAGCAAGTGACTAAAAACATCACGGTCTGAATTAGGCACACCTTAGTTTTCAGCCTGATATGATTGGTCCACAGCAATTTGGAGAGGTCTCTGACTGCAGACACTTCCAGCACAATATATCTCCTGATTTACTTACTTACTGCTGGTACCAAGGGTGTTGATTGTGGATCCACCAAGTAAGATGAAGCTACTGACAATTTCAATCTTTTCTCTAACTATCAAGATGTTGCCTAGAAGTCCAATGGTGAGAATTTTGGTTTTCTTGGTGTTGAGATATAATCTATATTGAAGACGGTAGTCTTTGAACTTCTACAGCAAATGTTTCAAGTCCTCCTCACTTTCAGCAAGCAAGGTTCTGTCATCAGCATAACACAGACTGTTGATGAGTTTTCCTCTAATCCATGTCACGTTCTCCTTCATAAAGTCTATCTTCTCAAATATTTGCTCAGCATACAGATTAAAATAGGTATGAAGAAAGGATACAACCCTTACACATGCCTTTCTTAATTTTAAACTATGTAGTAATATTTTGTTCTGTTCACAGAACAGCCCCTTGATCTAGGAATCGGTTTTCCATGAGCATAAGTAAGTGTTCTGAGATTCACAATTTTCTCAATATCAGTCATAATTTTATATGATTCACACAATCAAATGCTTCTTGTATAGCAAATAAAGCACAAATATACATTCTTCTGGTAGTCTCTGCTTTCAGCCAGAATCCACCTGACATCAGCAATGATATTCCTGACACCATGGCCTCTTCTAAATCCTGCTTGATCCGGGCAGTTTTCTGTCAATGTACTGCTGCAGCTGCTTTTGAATGATCTTGAGTAATATTTGCTTACATGCATTATTGATATTGTCAATAATTTCTACATTCTGTTGGGTCATTTTTTCTTAGGAACAGGAAATAAATATCGATCTCTTCTAGTCAGTTGCTGAAGATGCACTGAATAAGGTCCCATTAATCAAGGAGACACTAAGTGACGTTTCAACAAACAGGTGCAGCCTGGAGCATGGTCACCAGTTTATACAAGAAAATTTATAGGACAGTTGCCTGGCCTACTGACTGGAAAAGATAATAAGAGTAGAAAATTTTCTTTCACATGGCAAATTTGGCCTCTGAGCAAGGGTCCCTCAATGATCCTTAACTGTCTCTATTTTCTATACACTTGTTACATGTAATTGAGTCAACTATGATGCACAGCAACCTTATTAGTAACAGATCTGAACCTTGACATCTTCTCTATTAGGAGACACAATCTTCCAAGAGGCCTTGTCTGGGAGGAGCAGAATCTGGTTAAGACCTAGGGAGTCAACACTGATACGTTCCTTGGGAAAGTGGATGTGATGCCTGAGAGGGAACTGGTCAGAGACAATTCCCAGAACTGCCTCTGAGGCCCACGTGAAGTTGAAAAATCACAGATTTTCTAAACCAAATTAGTCTGTCAAAAATTTCTGGGCAGTTTTTGACAGAACAAGGTAGACTTTGAAATGATGGCATTTCTAGGGCATTGTGATGGACAGATGAGACAACATTGTGTATGATTTGGGATTGTCTCCAAAACCCGAAAATAATCGATCCCTGAAATGTCAGTAGAAGGCAAGCTACCCTCCAAGCATTTCATTCTAAGAAAAAATGGTTTCAACTGTAATTTAATTTGCATGCTTTGTAGATTTAAGAAGATGGTAGCTGAAAATGTCAGCATTCAAAGAGGTTTTCCTCTATACTCAAGAAACATCTAGGTCAAAATTAAAGTCTACTTAAAGTAATTAGGAAACCTTGAGGTTCTGGTAGCATCTCACACTTTCTGTCTTTAAAAAATGAGAACCCTTTAGAAAACTCTAATTGAGTCTGTCCACTCAGTTTAACTTTGAAAATGGCTTAAAATAGGCATATTAACAAAACAAAACAATCTATATTGTTATTGTAGGCTGCTGAGTCAGAACAAACCCATAGCTGAGCCTCCAGCAGGTTTTCAGAGGCAGAGCAGCTTGTAGATTTGCCTTTGGGATTGCAGTACAGTTTCTTACCACTAAGTCACCAGAGCACCAGTATATACATGGGCACTCTCCTCCCATATTAACTGTTGCTGAAAACCCATTTGAGGGTCAGCTACAAGTCAGTTCTGACTCGATGGTATAAAACAACAACCGTGTGTGTGTGTGTGTGTGTGTGTGTGTGTGTGTGTGTGTGTACCTCCAGAAACTCTGTGAACTTTGATAAATATCGATAGTTGTAGAGGGGTTTTAGGCCTTTTGTTCATAGGGTCGCTATGAGTCATGCTCAACTTGAGGGCAATCAACAACAATACATATGTTTGTATGTAAGTATGTCTGTATATACACTGAATCAATATATTAATATTTTCTTAGATCCCTATCAACTTTGGTTATCAAATTTTCTGGAGACAACAAAGGTTTCCATCACCTAAGGCAGTGCTCCACCCCATAGTTAGCTCTAGGAGACTCTGTACCCATGCTCTGTTTTGGGGTACTAAGAATCTGAATCTACAAAGTCTGTCCGAAACAGGATCTATCTAGTCTGTGACTTTATATTGACCTGACTACCTAGCCAGGTAACCAAATGACATAGGGGCCCAGCATCCTTCCCCTGGAAACCTTTATAATACCATTTATGTAAACAGAGGAATCATTTAAGTTAATGTATATTCCCTTATTCCCAGTGAGTAGTTCTTGTCTTATACTGAAGCCAGCTCTGTGTGGTAACAGAACTTAACAAGAAGGTGGAGTTAGGGATGAATTTTCTTAGACTTCAACCCATGCGAGTATGCCACAAGATCTAAAGTGAGCTTACTCAGTGACTTTCCCTGGAGATGTAGCTACCATGTTGCAATTCCATCAGCCCAGAATACATGATTTACTTTATGTTCTGCATAACCTTTCACTACTATTTTTCTATTTTTAAAATGATTTGTTAATTCAGGTAGGACAGACTATACTTTGGTTCCCATGTACTTGTTTTAATTTTTTTTCAGCCTCAATTTGAACTTGAGTAATTGTTGCTCTGTTTAACAGTCTGCACCTGGCATGGTTTTGACTACTGAGATCCAGTTTCTCCAATGATTCCTTCCACAGATGTGGGTCAATCTTATTCCTATGCAGTGCATCAGGACAGGTCCATGTGTAAATTCATTATTTGTATTTTTTAAAAAGGTATTTGTGATGAACAAATCACTGGACATACAAACTTCATACCATTTCTGGCCTCATATCTGTCACCAGTTCTCTACTTTGCAATTACCATTCATTCTCCATTGTTTCAGGGTTGTATCCTCTCTCCATACGTATCCAATCTGTATGTTGAGCAATTATTCTATAGACTGGACTCTATGAAAAAGAATATGGCATCAAGATCAGAGGAACACTCATCAATGACCGCTGTTATGCAGATGACACAATCTTGCCTGCTGAAAATGAAGATTATTTGAAGCTCTTGTTGCAGAATATCAAAGAATACAGTCTTCAGTATGGATTGAATCTCATTATCAAGAAAACAAAAAATCTCAGCACAAGAGAGGCTTCCATTTCCTGAACAACATGCCTCTCGAAACTCTATGAACTTTGAGAAACAATGATAGTTATAGAAAGGCTTCAGGTCTTTTGCTCATAGGGTCACTATGAGTCGTGTTCAATTCAATGGGAATCAACAACAGACCAGTAGGCAACATCATGATAAATGGAGAAAAGACTGAAACAGTCAATAACTTCATCTTACTTGAATCAACAATTAAACACTCTTGGTATCAGGAGCGCAGAAGGACTAGGAAAGATCTCTCCAAATAATTGAGAAGCAATAATGTAAGGCTGAATACTAGGATGTACCTGCTTCAATCTCTTGCTTTTCAGTCACCTGCTATGCCTCTGAGAGCTGGACAATGAATAATAATGGCAGAAGAACTAAGGCCTTTGAGTTGTGGTGTTGGAGAAGAGTACTGAATATCTCATGAACTTCCACAAGAACAAACATATCTTGGAGAAAATGTATCCAGAATAGATGCATAGATGATGAAGATTCATCTCCTATACTTTGTGCATGTTGCTAGGAGAGGCTATTCCTTGGAGAAGGACATCATGTTCGGAAATGTGCAGAGGCAGCAAAAGAAAGGAAGATCCTCAACCAAATGGGTTGACTCAATGACCACAACAATGGACTGGAGTGTATCAGAAATTGTGAGGATAACACAGGATAGGACAGGGTTCAGATCTGCTGTTCATATGGTTGCTATGGGTTAGACTTGACTCAATAGTACCCAACCACAGCAACTGTTTATCTGAATCACAACCATATTTCTCATTGATAGTGTGCCTTCATATTGTGCTAATGTTAACATCTTTGATCACATTTTTGGATGATATGTGAGGTTCCTTCATTCAGCCTCAATATTCTTTTGAGAACTTTGCCTTCATAAAAAGAGGTGTCAACCTTTAAGTTCTGCTTTCTCTGAGGAAGAGAATAACAACAGCCCCATTAGAACTGAAGACTGCAGTCCTCCAGCCAAGTGGTGATGCAGAGTATCTCTGTCTTGCCAAGAACTAAGTCCCGGCTTGACATGCCCAGGGTCACATCTCCAAGAAGTTCCAAGTCAGTCAAGACTTATTACTTAGGCTACCAGAGCTCTCTAGACAATTCATTAATAGTCATTAACTCTTCCCTTTTACCCTAAAACCAGGACACAGGTAGATCCTACCTTACCCACTTACTATTATATTTTTCCCAAAGACACAGAACATCTCAAGACATTAAGAATGGCCAGGTACCTGCAGGGAGTTTTCCTTTCAGTTTCCTTGAATTCCAAGCCATTGCACTTTTCTCATCCTTCATGGTCAAAGCAGGTAATTTCACAAACTCTGTTCTCTCAGCAAATGCATGAAATCTGAAACAACAAAGCATTCTTAACATCAGGATATTAAAAAGGTATTTGTTCATCTTGATCACTTCTCCTCAGATGTTAAATTTATTCTTCTGTGGTGACGGCCATCTTGGTCATGTCATTCCCTTTCCCTGTACCTTTCTAATTCCCTTAAGTGAGAGAGAGAAGGAACTGTAAGTGGTTTGGTATTTTAATTGATAATTCTTCACTAGAAGGTAATTATTACAACCAAATGGCACATGTTGATCCTAGGAAAATTATATCATTGTACTTTTATTTATTCTTATGTTCCCAGGTCTCACATCAATACCATTTGGACAAGCCAAGTGCCTAACAATAGAGTCTTGGCTCTCCATTAGTTCTGTGGGTTCACTGTGTTGAAAATTTGCAACTCAAGCACTAAAGCAGATGGGTTTCAATCAACTTTAACTCAGCAAACACAAACTTCCCCAGGATCCAAGCTTAATTATTAATTAGAAAAATGTATATGTGGGAGAGTTCTTAGGGTCTCCACTACTCAAAATACGAGCAGCGCAATACCCTGGGGACAGGTGAATATTGTCATTGTGTGCTGTCAGTCACACCATCCATCTATAGCTGACCCTACAGTGGGTTTTCAGAGACAGTAATGGAAAGAGACTGCCCATCCTTCTTTAGTGGGGCTACTGGTGGAAGGGAACTTTAGGATTGTGGTGCCACCAGAGTTCCTTGGGGACAGGTTAAGAAAGCAAATTCTTGGGCCCCACCCCAGACCTTCTGAATTAGAATACGCATTTTTAAGAAGATGCCCTGCAGATCCATGTGCTCTTTAAAGCTTGAGAAGGACTGTGCTGTTCATGGAGATATGAACTCTGTGGCCATCTGAAAGCCAATTATCTAGACTCCAAAAGTCATTAACAGCAGAGGATTTCTTTCAGATTGGCAGGTGATGTCTTTGAGTAATGCTCTTCCCAATACTCAAGAATTCCAACTCTGCCTGATGCCATTCAACTCAACACAAAGAGATAGTTTCAGCTGGACAAATGGTCAGATATGAAGTGCAGTCTGGAGACGTTCCTATTTCTAAAGGACTAATACAAGACTACTATGATATTGTGCAATGGCAATACACATGCCTATCTTTGTTCCAAGGCTCCCTCATCATATGAATGGCTTCTCACTCCTCCTGTTCAACTCTGAAAACCTGTTGGAGGGTCAGCTATGGGTTGGTTCTGACTTGATGGTACACAACCAGCCAACCTTACTGTAGGGAGCTCTGGTAGCTTAGTGGTAAGGAGTTGCACTCCCAACCCAACAGAACTCAGAAAGTTGGGAAACCTCCTGTGAAATGTACTGCCTCTGAAAACCTGCTGGTGGACTACCTATGAGATGGTTCCAAATCGGTGGCACATAACAACCCTTTTACTGTGTGTGCCTGCCTTCTGCAAGACTTCTTCCACACCAGAAACTACCAGCTTCCTTCCTCTTGTGCCCTTAAGAATGGCCAGGTACAGGGAAGGGAAGGGAAGAGAAGGGAAGGGGTGATACCCAGGATTTTCCACTCTCTGATCTGTTCTAGATTAGAGAGGAGAATGGGGCTGGAATGTACTTTGGTTGATGGAGCTCATTTATTGCATTAAATGAGCATGAAAATAGACTCTTGGGAGTGTCCTTGGAACAGAGAACTGTGTCTGAGTACTGGAGGTTCTGCCCAGACACAGCCTGGGGCAAGGGGTAAGCCAGCGTACAGTGTGAGAGTCACTGGGCCGAGGCAGTCTGCCTGAAAACTGAGACTCTGAACATGCTGTTTATAGGTTATTAATAACTGCACTTGCACTGTTAGCCCAGCTCAGCAGTGGAAAGTGCACCAAGACTGAGGGTGTGGCAGCGAGCAGAGTAGAGCAGGACCTCACTGATGGTGGGTCAGCAAACTTGCCAGCACCGCAGGCCTGTGGGCACCTTTTTCTCTCTGCAGAATTTGCACACTGCAGTGCCCTGTTTAAATGCCAACAGCAGAACTGCAGTGCCTCTGGTGCCAAATTACTCCCAAAGGGAATTAGCCTGCCCAGAGAAAGCACTGCCCAGGTTAAGCAGAGATCCCAGGTGAGGTAGCCCTGCCAGTTGCTTTGTTCCCTTTCTAGTCATAAAAGTAAGGAAGTGAGTCCCTTCTGGTTTTGTGAGTGGTCAGGGACCCAGAACTGAAGCCAAGCACCTGACATGAAATTATTTCAAAGTGTTTTTAAAGCAGCCAGAGCAAAAGGTCTCAGATTCACCAAAGGTCCTATTAAATGCAGAATCTAAAGCTCTCTTCAGATCCTGAAAATTGGGGTTGTGAGAGCTTTGGTGTAGAACCTGTACTACAGGCAAGCTCCCAAGGTAGTTCCTCTACAAATTAAAGAGATAAAACGCATATTCTTGGGCCTCACCTCTCTATGTAGAATTTATCTGCAAGGCATATCCCAGCTCTCCATGTGATTTAACAAGCTTCCCAAGTGACTATGGTGCTCCGTCATCATATATTTGAGGACAAAGTGTTGAGGGCAGCACTATGTCCTTATCAGACAGGCTGATTTATGAAAGGACTGGAGAAATCTCCTTGTAACAGTATAATCATTTGAGGTAACTCTATTAGGGACCTATACTCACACAGAGAAGACAGAGGAGGTTCACAGAGACTAAGGAATATACTGTAAAGTGGGGAATAACACAGAAACAAATTGGTTAGAAAGATCCTAAAGAATCCAAAGCCCACAGCTGATGTGCGTGGGTACGAACTTGCTGTCAACCTTAAGCACATTCTCTGCCTACCTTCTGTGGCTTTTGGCACTCAGATCCTTTAGAAAAGCTATGGTGCCTTCTCCTCTGGCATTGAAGGACACTGTGCAGATGGGATACGAGAGCTCCACAGTCATCTGAAGGAGAAGCTCCTTGGATTCCTCAGGAATATCCCCCACAACAAAGTAGTAAATAGATTCAATCTGCAAAACATGGGTATCAATAGTTTATCTCCCTAAACTATAGCCTCATCTAGAATACAGTTTCTATAAAGCATTTCCTTTTATTTAATGGATAAAACAAAGACTAACAACCTGCTCAACAATGTTTACATTTGGGAGCTAGTCAGGAAATGAGATGGTCTGGTACCAACTATTGGCAGTAGCCATATTCTTGGATAAAGCCTGGGAAAAACCATGGTTAGCAGATTTAGAGAGCAGCTCTCCCCAAGTGTATAATCACATTATACAAGTTAGAAAGGCCTATTTTCGAGTCAAGTACCTGGGGAAGTTTGGGCAGAGCTACTACGGGCAGGAAGCTTATTAGTCATCTCCTATGGTGGTGCCAGAATCTTACAGTGCAAACTCATCATTCCTAAGAGAATCAGAATGTAGAAAAAAGGGCAGAGCCCCATCTGATTCACTCTCCAGTCTCATTTCACCAGTGGGGCATATACACCTGGGGAAGTGAAAGCTGCGCTTTCTTCACACAGCAGTTGGAGAACCAGGTCCACCACCACCACATTATGTCAGAAGAAGAATGGGAGCATGAACCCTTGCACCCAGAGCCACATAATCTCAACCCTGCCCTTCAACCAGCCATTCATGGAGATGTATACCTAACCCAGGTAGGAGACAATGCCAAGGAAGTGCTTCCTCCTTAATTTAGAGACAGGAAATCTGTTCAAGTGGGCTCTGGTGACAAAAGCCTACCCATAACCACCACTGCACAGCTCTTCCACAGGATGTCCCTTTTGTGATGTTTATGTCCTGTGTCACTAAGGAGCTCTGTAGCCAAGTAAGGTAGAAGGAGAAAGAATGGGGGGCACTCAAGTGAAAGCCCAGGGAGAGCCAGGAACAAATGCCATTTACACTGCCTCTAAAAACATCTTAATGTATTGCCTCTACAAATAACCGGAGAAGCCGCAGTAAATATTCTAAGCTGTAAATGGATGCCACCATCATTTTAGGATTCATAATTCTCAGTTTGCTGTAATCCCAAGGCTCTGTTAGTAGAAGGTTAAGTAGATAACAATTTCAGTTTGACTTCAAACTTTAAACTTTATGCAGCCAACAAAAACGTAAACACTTGGTTCCCTAGGTGGTTAGGATCTTCCATCTAAATCAGATGACACAGAATGTGTACCCAGGAGGGCAGGTGGAGCCAGGGCAGCTGAGGACACAATGAGTGAATGCTGAGAGCAAGGCTGCTTCAGCAACAACCCTCCTATAACTCAGCACAGAAATGCGGCCTCCCTACCTGGGGATCAGTCTCTCAGGGCCTTCAACATCATCTTTATTATTATTTTTAATATAATTATTACCTTTAATATAATCATTCATATATATTTTCATGCATGTATACTGTGTCTTATACAATAATTTCTATACAACAAGAGCATAATTTTTACAAGTAGCCTAATGGAAAGGAGCTCTGGTAGCCTGGTATGCACTGTGTTCCACTACTAACCAAAAGCTTGGTGGTTCGAACCCAGCACCTGATACATGAAATAAAGATGGGCAGTCTCCTGCAGTGGAAATTTACAGCCTCAGAAACCCAGAGTGTCACTATTATTGTTATGTGCTGTCGAGTCACCTGCAACCCATAGTGACCCTACGTACAGCAGCCCTAAACCCTTCCCTGTCCTGAGTCACTCTTATTAATTCTGCCACACCAACCCTCATTGTCCCAGTTACTTTATCAATCTATTTCATCCAAGATCTTCCTCTCCTGAGATGTCCCTCCACCCTTCTGAGCATAATGTTCTTCTCCAAGGACTGGTTTCTCCTAGCCATGTGCCCAAAGTATGTGAGACTGAGCTTCAAAATCCTAGCCTACAAGAGAAACTTGGTTTTACCCTCTCCAAAACAGACATATTTTCTTGTCATTCCATGGTATGTTCAAGACCCTTCTCCAGCAGCACAACTCAGAAGCATCTATTCCTCTACTGTCATCCTTAGTCATTTTCTAGCTCTCTGAAGCATAAACAATTGCAAAGACCATGACCTGGATCAGGTGCACCATAATCTCTAGAATGACATTGTTATTTTTCAGTACTCTGGAGAGGTCCCTGACAGCAGATTTTCCCAATTCAATTTCTCTTTTGATTTCTTTACTGGTGTTAAGAGTGTTGATTGTGGAGCCAAGCAAGCTGTAATTGTTAATAACCTCAGTCCCTTCTCCATCTATCATACTTATGTCTTTTGGCCCCACAGTGAGAATCTGTCTTCTTGATGTTCAGCTTCAATCCACACTGAAGACTACACTCTGATTTTCTGCAGCAAGCACTTTAGATCTTCTTCAGTTTCAGCAAGCAAAGTTGTGTCATCTGCAAATCATAGGTTGTTGTTGATCCAATCTTTTTTTTTATTATTAAATTTTATTAGTTTCAATGAACACTCACAGGAATTCTGGGCTTTCACTCCTTCATTGCCGCACCGTTCTCTCCACCCTCCTCCCCAGGTTGTTCTTCTTCCCCACCATCCGAATGCCACATTCCTCCTCATAAAGCCCCTCTTCCCAAAAAATGGCCTGTTCTGCATACAGATTGAAAAGGTATGGAGACAGGATGCATTCCTGACACACTCACTCTTCCTGATTTTGAACCATGCAATGTTTCCCTGCTCTGTTCTGAGGACTCTTTCCTTGGCCAAGTACAGGTTTTGCATAAGCACAATCAAGTGTTCTGGGATTCCATTTTCCTTAAGGTTAGACACAATTTGTTCTGATCTACACAATCAAATGCCTTTGCATAATCAATGAAATAGACACTCCTCTAGTACTCTTTGCTTTCTGCGAAGATCCATTTGACATTGGCAATGTCTCTCATCCCATGACCTCTTCTAAACCCAGTCTATATTTCTGTAGTTCTCTGTCAATGTACTGTTCTGTCATTTCTGGATAATCTTCAACAGGATTTTGCTAGTGTGCGATTTTAGTGATGTTGTTTTTCTTGCTGATTTTGTTACACGCCATCAAGTCACCTGTAACTTACAGTGACCATACATACAATAGCCCTAAACCTTGCTCTACCCTGAACCAATCTTATTGTCTCTGACAAACCTACCCCCATTTTCCCAGTCACTGAATCAATCTATCTCATCGAGGGCCTTCCTCTCTTGTGTTGTCCCTCTGCCCTCCCCAGCATGATGTCCCTCTCCAAGGACTTCTCCCTGTATGTCAGATAAAATTTCAGAATCCTTCTACACTCTGTAGGGTCACCTTTTTTTGGAATGGAATAAATATGGATCTCTTTCAGTCAGTTGGCCAAGTAGTTGTCCTCCAGATTTCTTGGCACAATTTGGTAAGCATATCCAGGGCAGCATCTGTTTGCTAAAATACATCATTCAAATTTATTATTTATCATTTGTACTTATCATTCAAGATTATGTGCCAACAGCCAAAGGCAAAAATGAGGAAATAGATGATTTCTATCAATTGCTGCAGTCAGAAATCGATCAAACATGTAACCAAGATGCATTAATAATATTGGGTGACTGGAATGTAAAAGTTGGGAACCAGAAAGAAGGATAAGTAGTCAGAAAATATGGACTTGGTGACAGAAATGAGGCTGCGGATAAAATGACAGAATTCTGCACAACTATTTATTAATGGCAAATACCTTTTATAAGAAACAGGCTATACACACAAATTTTCCCTAATGATCCCATTAGGAATCAGATTGATGATATCTGTGTAAGGAATTGCCATAGAAGTTCAATATCAGTAAGCTAGACCAGATGCAAGTTCAAATCAAAACTAAAGAAGGTTAAATCATATCCACAGGAGTCAAAATTTATCTTGAGTATCCTCCCTGAATTTAAAAATGATTTCAAGGATAGAGTTGAGGCCTTGAACATTAATGAATGAAGACCAGATGAGATGTGGGGAGATATCAAGAATACCATTAATGAAGAATGCAAAAAGTCATTACAAAGAAGGAAGAACAAGGTCACTATTAAACAGCCAAAATCAACTCCATGAGTTTGGTTTTAGTTTAGCCTAACAGAAAGGAAAAGGTAGAGGATGTAAATTTCTTAAAAAGGAAAAGCAGTGAATGAATGTTAAAATCAAGTTTTCCAGACAACTCACCAAGGAACTAATGAAAAAGTCGTGTTTTTCTAATGCTTTTCCAGGAAATGTATTATTATCTCATTCTTTTCCTCATGCAACACACTACATCATCCAAAACTAATAGGCTCCCAATTAGATTAAATTTTATTAAAGTTCCCCAAGCTGTATCAGGGCAGTCCAGTATCAGAGGGGCCATCATCCTCCAAGGATCTAAGCTCACACATGGTCCAAAAGAAAGGAATGGACAGAGGGAATATTTTCAGGGGGGTGGTAGATGAAAAGGGAGGTGAGCCCAAGAATCTCTAGATGACCTGATGGCAGCTTCTGAAACCCATACGTTTCTCTTGCAAATCATGCAAACTCACCTTCTTTGCCCAAGAGTCTGAAATCCTCATAGAGATATGTATTTACCTCAAGATTTCATCAAATTAAAAATTGCTGTCACCAGCAGTGAGTCAGAATTTCCTTTTCTCTGCTAATGTTACAGGGTTATTCACAAGTCATTAAATGTATTACTCAGCTTCAAAACTGGATGTATTTTCAGCCCATTATTTGTGATGCAGATTTCCTGGGACATGATTTACATTCCAACCACCTATTTCACCATCACTAGTGGCCTAATGAGTAAGGAGTTAAGCTGCCAATCCAAACTCAAGTGATAAGAATTTACTACCTGCACCAAGGGAGAGGCTATTCCTTAGAGAAGGACATCATGCTTGTAAAGGTGGAGAGACAGTGAAGAGGAAGACCGACAACCAGGTGGATTGACACAGTGACTGCAGCAAAAGGCTTGTACGTGTCAGAGATTGTGAGGATGGCACAGGGTTCACATCTATTGTTTATAGGGTAACTATGTGTCCTACTTGACTTGACAGCACTTAACAACAACAACCAAGGGAGAAAGATGGGC